TTAAATATAATATGAAAAAGTTCTGTCAGAGTCTGTGATATTTGTTTGGTAATATGTGTGATGGTATGTAGGAGAGAAGAGGAGTATAAATATTCTAGATAATGTACTCTTAGGCGTCTTCTATATGGTATTTGATAGAATATATTCATGTTAATATTGTTATTTATTTTTAGGCTTAAATGTAATGAACGAGTATTACATAATGAAGAAATTCGAGTGTTACGTAAACAAGTTAAGATAAACGATGATTATCGAAAAGAAATAGCTCGACAGCAAGCAGAAATTCATGTAAGAATTCTTTACTTTTTTTAATTTTAATTTAATAACAATGAAAAAAACAAAATTATTTTTTTTGTTGTTTTTATTTGTTTAGAAACTTCGTGAACAGTTAGCAAATGAGAAAAAAACAAATTTGATTTAAAATGCGTTTTTAGTATTGTATATTTATCATAAAAATATTCTTATTAAAATAAATAAGAATAAAAGAATTGATGGAACGATATGAATAGTTGAATTACAATAATCTCGATCACAACAATATATATTAACATCTGTTTGTGTTGTTTGAATTGGACAAAAAAATACTGAACCTTTTGATACTAAACGACGACCATCACCTAGATTCGCAATTGTTGTCTACATTTAAAGAGAATAAAAAAAAAGTTCAAACATTTATTTTTCGATTGTCAAATACGAAAAACAAAAAAAACAAACTTACAACACATTTAGCCAGAAAATTTGTATTATTAGTTAAAGTAACATAAGGATAATTTTCAGTAAATGGTTGAGGGCAATCTGTACATTGATAACATATTATTGAATTAACCATTTGAATATCTAATAGGCAATATTATATTCTAAATTCATTATTATGTAATACATTTTTTTATTATTATTTATAATTACAAAACATTTTTATTGAGATTATTTTTAAATAATCATATTATTTACTCATCTATTCAGTTGATTTTAACAAATATTCACATTGTTGAATAATAAAAATCTTTCGTCAATTCAACTCTATTTTTAATTCAACTAAACTTATATTAAATTAGGAAAATTCAAAAACTATTATATTTTTCTTTTCTCTTTAATCGTATAGAATTTTATTTTATGAAACGTTCAACAATGAAACGACACAAGATAAAAGAAAATAATTGTTTACAAAAAACAAAAACAAATCCATAATTGTTGTAAAATTCCTTAAAACAGTTGTTTATCTTAATTTTTAGATTTTTCTTTTTTTTTCGATAAATTATATATCGAAAATGAACATATTTTAAATAATCATTCAATAGAAAATATTCTTCTATTTTGACTAATCTATCATTTTATATTCATTTAATATTTTTGTTAATGAAATCGACACAGGAAAAAGAGAAAGATTTATCGAATAAATTTTCAATTTTAACATAAATTCGTCAAGAATATTTTCTAAAATAATAATTAATTAAAATAAAGCATTGTCTAGAATAGATTTTAGATGAAATCGTATTAATATAGGAAATCTATTAGTAAAGTCTTTCTCTTTTTTCTCATTTTATTAATTAAGATTTTATTTTAAAAAATTGTAAATAGAAATCAATATATTCTATGTTACTTCAATTTTATTCAAAGATTAAAAAAATAATGATAAATAGTAGATAAATCGATTTTCCTAATCAACAATCATATTGACTATTCACTATTGAACTCAAACCAAAATTCATATTATCCATTTATTATCTATATTACAAATATTTCTATAGATTATAATGAGAAATATTTCATTATAATATTTTAAAATTTATAGTTATCAATCCTTTATTTTTATATCTATATTATTTATATTTATGTGTTTCCTTTAATTAAACAATTTGTCTATCTATCATTGTGATTCATACTGAACGAAAACTGACAATAAACTATATTTAGATCGTTGGTTCTAATGTTCACTATACTGGTAAGAGTTTAATAGGGGAAGTAGTTGTCTATAATATAACCGTGATTAAAATTGTCTATGTGAAATATTTTTTTGTCCAACTGTCAATTTCTAGTGAAGAGATTATTGATAGTGTGAACAAAAATGAAAGATAAATAATGATTTTATTTATGAATAAATTAATTATAACTATATATATAAATAAATAAATGTCTAACTATGACTCACTGTGTAATAGAAATATTCCGAATAATAAAAATATCTTTTGCATGATATTTTCTAATGTTGTATTATTTCAATGTTTTCACTTTGTTCGATTGTCTACGAATGATATATTCAAGGTGAATAAATATTTTTCTTGTTTGAAAGAGGCGGAAACAAAGATTCTTTCTTTTTCTTTTTCTTTTACTTTAAATAATTGTCTTTATCGTTTTTTTTTCTTTAAAATAGTGCCTCTTCAATAGTCAATAAAAATGGATTGATTATTTATTGTTATTCTCAATCGATATCATTTTTTTGATAATGTTGATGAAAGGAAGTCTATTACTCGTTTCTGGTATAATTCTATTAAATTGTAAGTTGAAATATTAAAAAAAAGAATAAATAAATAAATAAATACATATAATCTAGGTATGATAAATGAATGTCGAATAATTAAATGTTATTCTTGTTCAGATTGTGCGAATTCAACTTTAAAAGATGTTAATATTATTCAAACAACTAAAGATGAAGATCAATGCATTGTATTAATTCTCAATATATTTAATAAAATTTATAATTTATCTTTATTTATTTAGAAAACAACAATTGTAACAGGAATAAATCTTGAAAGTGGAAAACTAATTAATCGTGGTGCTTCATCACGGTGTCAATCATATTCAAGTAAACAAATTTCGATTATTTGTTGTCAATTGGACTATTGTAATGCATGATATTATTTTATTATTATTTATTGATTTATATATTAAGAAATAAAATCAATTAATTAATGTCATTTTAATAAATGAAAATAAATATTTTTTTTATTTCTTAATTAATTTAATTTATCATATGAAAATTTCTTTTAAAAATTGATTTTCAATGTGAAATAAATATTCTTTAATTAAGATAAAGATAATAACTAGTTTATACTATATTGATTAAATATATACGAGTCAATTTTGTTGTTGTTGTTGTTGTTGTTGATCCAAATCCGACAGATTGGGATCGAAATTTAACTTGAACAAGATTCGACATAATAAAAAAACGCCAAATGATCATCAAGATAAAAATGTTGATTTGTATGAAAAAGTTTTCCGTCAATTTATTAAAATGATATTAAAGTTGAAAATGAGAAAAGAGATAATTAATAGTTGAATATGAATATTATCTATTAATATTTAAAAACTATTAGAAAGCGAATCTAAAATTTAATCTCGATAGAGAATAAAATTCAAACGAAATTAACATATGAAACAATATGCAGCTGTTTAATATTGGTAAAATAATGAAAAATTTTTAATTTAATATATTATTAAAATAATCTCTTCTCTTTTTTTTTGGAAATTTTACTCGTATTTTGTTTTATTTTTTTGTTGATTTTTAATGTATAATTTTAACAGGTATATATTTGTTATCAGGTAGATCCTACTCGTACTCATTGACAATGATTAAGGTCATTTAGTGAAATAGAAACTAACCAATAGTGTATTTTGATATAATGTTAATAAACCAAAGTGTAAAATGATATTCAATGTTCTGTTATATTATTGTTCCTACATTATCAAATAATGATATTAATCAAATATTTATTCAACACTCTTCATATATAAATAATAAATTAAAATCTTAACCAAATAGAAACTCTTAGAAAACATTTTTATTCTATGATCAATGATTATTCATTTATTGATTTCTTTTATCATTATGAATATTTTTTTATTTTATTTCTATCTTATCATTTTACTTTATAATAAGTTTAAATATTTTGGGAAAAAGTACTTTTGATCACCACAACGCTTTAGATACTTTTGATCACCAAAAAAAGATACATTTGATCACCATTTTTTTCATTTCTATTTTTATAATTTCTTATTTGATGTAAATAGTTATCAATAAAGATATTCATGCTGTACAATTAAGTTTTAACGAACAAGTATTCAATTATGGAATCAATCTCCTGACGGCTATAAATGGCGTTCTGAAGACTCGTTGAATAAATTTTGTGATTATTTTTATGAGCAATGGGTAAAAAAGATGCCAAATTGATAATAGAATGAAAAAATCCGAGAGATATAACTATTTTTACTATGTTCCGTTTCCATTGTAGATATGAAGGTTGTGCAATAAATGTACCATCTACAAGCAACGCCTGTGAGTCGATGAACGCCCAAGTCAAACAGCAATACACGTTTCGAAATAAATTACACTTGAGTTCATTTCTTCTCAAGATTGAATTAATGCTGAGTGATTAATCGAAACATTGTGAGACCACTCCGTTTTCTACAACTACGGCTATAACACCTGATTCAGAACTTGCTGGATACAAATGGTCTATCAATATCGATTACAACAATATTTATCACTGGCACGACCTTTTTTATGTTGTACTATCATCCAATGCTCAAATGGAACCGTCGGCCAGGTTAAATATTTATTTTTCTCAACAATGGTTTACTTTCGACGATTTTCTGGTTTGGTAGAAATCATGTTGATAGTTGCACCTTTACAATCATGTACATGTCCTACTGGCCTTAAAGTTTATTCTTCTAAACACTATTGGTTTAGCAATTCTATTTAATTTGTATCAAGTGAGCGATAAAACACGCATCCAACCAATAAATAAGGGTAAAAAAAGGGGTGCCCGAAAACAGTTAGTTCAGCTTTAAGCTGTAAATAGGTCTTTGCAATTTTTAATACGTTGTTAATAGTATACAGACTTTTATTGTGAATGTTGCATTATTTCAGAAATAAATATTTTGAAATGAAGAAACTAAAAAAAATGGTGATCAAATGTATCTTTTTTTGGTGATCAGAAATATTGTCACCCAATAATAAGCAAAAACCAAAGAAAAACAAGACAAATAAGAGTTGCATTAAACAAATGATCGAAAAACCAATCAATTGAAATAGAATTAGTAAGAAAAGTTTTATTTATCAATTATAATATTCAAGCAACATTAATAAGATTTTTTTTTCAAAATGTTCTTTTGTTTTCAATTCGAGTCTGACAAAAGATGATAAAATTTTGATATTGATAAAAATAAAAAATAAAAAAAATGAAATAATGAAATAATTGATTAAAAGTGTTAAATATATGTTTTTGCTATTTCAAAGTCAATTTGAATATTTTATTTTGGAAACGAAATAATCTCTTAAAACAATTAACTTGAATGACATAATAATCCAGGACCAACAATCCGACAGTTAGATCTTGTCGGATCCTATCGGAAAAACAATCGGATTTCATTGGATCCGATAGGAATTCGTTGGAAGTTGTCGGAATCCATGGCATTGGATTCCGACAAGTTCCGACGAATTCCTATCGGACCCGATGGGGTGAGTTCGACCTGGGAATAATTTGTTTTCTTTTGAAATAAAATACTTAAGAGACGGTCCATAAGACCATCAAGGAATCGAAGCACTCGACTAAAAATTTTCTTTTGATTTTTTTTGCTCATTCAAAGCATCAATGTCTGAAACCGCCAACCTCAAAATTTTAGGTTTTAATACTATTCCTTTCGAAAGTTAGTCAATACCAACTTTTAGCACTATCGTACCTTTTTGAGAAAAAACGAGAAAAATTACTCTATAAAAGATGTGTCAGCTTG